GCTTCGCATTTTGTGTGGTTCTCCTGAATATTCTTTATATCTTTTTTTTTTTTTGGCTTTTAGCTAGACACAACATTATTATACAGTACAGAGGGACACCAAACCCTGCATATCTGTTTGCTTTTGAAGTCATTTAAGTATTTCTGAGTGAAACACAGTATTGAACGAGGAAAAATGAAGGGTGGGACTTTTATCCATTGGGAATAGATTGGATTATGAAAAGTGGGTGTATATACTGCAATGCAGTCAGATGTTTTGAGGGAAGGTTTTCTAATGTCAGAAAAAAAAGAAAAGTTGTTTCAGAGGGGGAGCAAGTTATTAAACTTTGATCAAAAAAAATAAAGAAGACAAATGGAATAACATACACAGTAAGACCAGGAATGTTTATGTAAGACATGCATGTGTCAGAACACGCCAACCGACGCTTTCTTCATCACCATACATTCGCACAAACCAGCATCTCTAAAATGTTTATTGTTGTTAAAATGCAATTGTTCTTTTTCACTGCTGTGTTAACCATACCTTGCACCAGGGGTCCCTTTGACATGCTCTTGATTGTTATCAGCAAGTTATTAAACTTTGATCAAAAAAAATAAAGAAGACAAATGGAATAACATACACAGTAAGACCAGGAATGTTTATGTAAGACATGCATGTGTCAGAACACGCCAACCGACGCTTTCTTCATCACCATACATTCGCACAAACCAGCATCTCTAACATGTTTACAGACAGATCTGCAATTGTTCTTTTTCACTGCTGTGTTAACCATACCTTGCACCAGGGGTCCCTTTGACATGCTCTTGATTGTTATAATTTTCACAATTCAGAAAAGTGATCTTTTATGTGACAAGGGATACAATCCTGTTTATGCAAAGAGATGCTTGCTGAGAAGTGCACAGCCCAGAATGAAGCGTGGTGCCGTCTGTCTGCTGGGCAGCAGGAGAGCACAGAACCACAACCTGCCATCAGACTCGCTTATGAAGAAATACTGAGGCTTTGTGCATTACTGTTAAAAGTGAGGGCACTACTGACATTTTGAATGTCTCTTGTCAAAGTCTTATCTTTATCTTATTTTTTACAATGTTTTCATAAATAAAGCTGCTTTTATATAAATACTGAAATGTGATTTGCATCAAACCCTTTGAAGATTATAAAAGCTTAATGCTGCCTAAATGGAATATATAGATGACTTCATTTACTAATTTATATTAGTGCTGTCTCAAACAATTAATCGCGATTAATCGCATCCAAAATAGAAGTTTTTGTTTACATAATATATGTGTGTGTGTACTGTGTATATTTATTATACATATATATATATACACACACATGTATATATTTCAGAAGAATATGTTATGTTTATATATTACATATATTTATATATAATATAAATAATATGAATATAAATGTATACATGTATTTTCAAAATATACACTGTATGTGTTTGTATTTATATATACATAATAAATATACACAGAACACACACATATATTATGTAAGCAAAAACTTTTATTTTGGATGCGATTAATCGCGATTAATCGCTTGACAGCACTAATTTATATTTTTTCTCTCTGGCAATATTTGATATAGGTCTTGATCTATGTGCTTCAAAAGGTTATCATTTTCAGAATCTTCATTTCAGCAACATTCACTGTTGCCAAGTAGATTCAGAAAACGTAACAGTGAAAATATGTATTAAAGTTAAATAAAAATAATCAAATCATGTTGTTTTTCACTAGTTAAACACAAGGAAGAATGATATTTAGTAATCTGCATCATGCACCTATAAAATAAGACACAGTAATAAATGTCAGCTATTTATCAACGTTCATTTTACCAATACATCCTGATATGAATGCTGCAACCTCGTAAAAGTGTATGTCACAATATGTGACCCTGGACCACAAAAGCAGTCATAAGTAGCACAGGTATATTTGTAGCAATAGCCAACAATACATTGTATGGGTCAAAATTATAAATTTTTCTTTCATGCCAAAAATCATAAGGATATTAAGTAAAGATCATGTTCCATTTTAGGAATCTTATCCAAGTTGCAGGCTAGTCAATATTGGTCAGTCAGTCGTATCTGACATAAAGGATCCGCGAATGAAACTGTGACCACAAACACGTACCATTAACTAAGTGAATTATATGGCAATAATCAGCAATTTCACACAAATAACTTTCTTTTTTGAATCTTTCAATATGTGTTGACACAAATGACTTATTTGAATTTTTCCATTGATACAAATATGGCACTGAGTTGTTAGAAAAGAAATGCGTAGAGACGTTATTGCTTGATGACGTCAGGAACCGATTAATCGGCTTTTTGAACCAGTTCCATGAGCCGATCTGTCAGAAAAGTACTGGTTCGCAGAAATGAATCGGACTTTGCAATAAATCACATGTGACAGTCCTGCGTTTTACAGCCAATCAGAAACGCTGTCAATTGTTTTGCATATTCAGGTTTGATATCATCGGGTTCAGGGATTGAAAGTAATTTTTTCACTCACCAGCCAATTTGGCTACTAAATTTTTAAGTTACCGGCCATTCATAACTTCTACTAGCCAAAAAAAAAACACATAAATAAACCAACAGTTTGAGGCTGTCTACACTGGGCGTGACAAAGCGACCATTGCAAATAATTTTGTGTCAGTACGAGGTGTGCGCGATATTGACAAAAAATAATATCTAATATATTATTTTATCGTTAAAGATAATTAGACAATAAATAAGTGTGTTATTGTGCTGATATAAGGACTACCGTGGACAGCTAAATCCTAAAGTTTTTGATATATATTTCATATTCTGTGTGGTCAGTTCACAGCAGTGATATAAATTAATCTTTTCCAATAAGTTTAAATTGATTTTTACCTTTTATGGGCATTTTTACCTATATAAAGCCATTTTTTTCTAAAAGTGTGCATAATCTTTTAAGTCAAATTCTTACATTTAATACAGTCAATTATAATAATAATACATTTAGGCTGTTGCTAAACAAATGAAATCAATATCAACAAAATTAATCTTTGCAGAAGTTGCATATGAAGTGTCATTTAGATGCATTTAGACATGTTAATGCAGCTTAGAGGGACATGGAATGCTTTAACCTGCAGTTACAAATGCATAAATAATGTTTTGATATTTTAAACAAGAAATGTTGAATACTGACATTTGCACTTGTTTTAAAAATGAAAAGATACTTGAAACGTAAAATTAAAACAATTAAAACCGCCAGTAGGTGGCAGCAAGTCAGTGTTAAGTGAGTCATTGAAATTGAACCGAATCATTTAAACGGTTGATTCATTCAGGAATGAAACAAGGTCATGTTGCTCAGAGACGCAAGACAGTGCTGTGGCTGTGTTTGGAATGTTTTTTGTTGGCGAAATAGAGCAAAAACAGCCAATATGGTGTCTAAAACAAAAGTCTCTTGATATTAACTTGTTGTTTATTGAACTGTTGTATAAAATCAATATCACATTTGTAACCATGCTTTTTTCTTTTTTTTTTAAAACAGCATCTTCGTGTGATATTGATTAATTGTATGAAATTATATAAATATATACATTTTCTGCCCCCTTATCTTGAATTATGTGATCATTCTTAATGCATATTAATAGACTGAATCATGCAGCGAAAAACGCACTCTAAATGCGCGCGCGCACTAAAGCCTGTGTTGGTCTAACCAGACCTCATCACGTCGCGTATGCGTGCACTCTGTAGGTGTGTTTTGTTTGGTTTTTGCAATA